AACCAAACTGCCTAGAACATCAAAAGGTTATGATGCCATATGGGTAATAGTAGATCGGTTATCTAAAACTGCATATTTCTTACCGATGAAAGAATCATATTCGATGGAGAGATTGGCTAAATTATACGTTGATGAGATAGTGACACGTCATGGTGTTCCTCTATCAATGGTTTCTGATAGAGATAGTCGATTCACTTCTATGTTTTGGAAAAGCTTCCAAAGAGAGATGGGTTCATAGATGAAGCTAAGTACAACTTATCATCCCCAACCGATGGACAAAGTGAACAAACTATCCAAACATTAGAAGATATGTTGAGAGCTTGTATTATTGATTTTGGAGGATCATGAAATAGTCATTTGGCTCTGGTGGAATTCGCTTACGATAATAGCTACCATTCAAGTATTCAAGCTGCACCTTTTGAGGTTCTGTATGGACGAAAGTGTCAAACTCCTTTGTGTTGGAACGAGATAGGTGAAAAACAGTTAGCTGGACCTGAGCTAGTCCAGCAAACAGCGGATAAAATTTTTCTAATAAGGGAATGTATGAAAGTGGCACAAGATAGACAAAGAAGTTATGCAGATAAATGTCGAAAGCTTATTGAATTCCAAGAAGGTGATACGGTGATGTTAAAGGTATCACCCTAGAAAGGAATGGTACGTTTTGGTAAAAAGGGGAAATTGAGTCCAAGATATATTGGACCATTCCCTATTATTAAAAGGATTGGAGAAGTGGTATACAAGATAGAACTTCCTTTGGAACTGAGCGGAGTCCATGATACGTTTCATGTGTCAAATTTAAGGAAGTGTCTAATAAGCCCAGATATAGCGGTGCCCTTACGTGAAATTGAGGTTAATGAAAGGTTGTGCTTTGAAGAAACCCCTGAACTCATTACTAACTTCAAGGTAAAGAAACTTTGAAATAAAGAAATTGGGTTAGTAAAAGTTCAGTGGCGTTATCACAAACGACCAGACGCCATTTGGGAATCAGAATCAAAAATGCGAATAAAATATCCCTACCTATTTACTTAATGGAATTCCGGGACAAAATTTTTCTTAGGAGGGAATATTGTAATATTCGGTTTATGTATTTTAAGAGTTTAAAATTTCTTTTGCATATTCATGATATGTAAGTAAGAATGGTGTGTATGTATGTATGTATAGTAATATATGAATTGATTGCTTTTGGTGAAAGGCGGCCATACATTTGCTATATATAGCAAGTGTATGAGAAAAGAATAGCTTCTTCTTCTTTTAGAAAGTTTTCTTTGGAAATTGAGAGTGAGGATTTGAAAGAAATCGCAGTCTATAAGCCGGTCAACTTCAAGCAAAGGTCATCGTACATTACAAGACAAGGGCAAGGGAAAAGTTTAAAACAATATTATGTAGTTGTGTATTTTGTATGTTAACAAAGTTTTTGTTGACCCATAATTTCTCATATTATCATGTTTTGCTTCATGGATATGATTATGTAAACTTTATGCTGGTGGGAAAAGTGGGTTTTTATAGAAAATGTAATTGTTTTCCTTATATGTTATCTGCTTGTGAAGATCATCTGATGATTGCATATTTTGAAGATACATGTTGTTATACATGTAATAGTACAAGGATATTATTTTGGAATTTTTCATGTGTATATTTTGTATATATAGAATCCTTGTACTAGTGGGACCTATGTGGTATAATCTATACTTTTTTGATATGAAATATGTGTTATATACAAATGTGGAGAATGGGGTGTTACAGAAGGTGGTATCAGAGCCTGAGTTTAAGGAATTTAGGTATTCAAAGCATGATACCTAGACTTAAATTGTTATTTGCATATTAGGGGTCCCCAAACATAGTTAGCACTATTGAAAATAAATATGATGGGTTAAAAGAATAGTGTATAAGGTGAATTCGAATTACATCTGGCCAATGTAATTATGAATTTACAAGTATATATCTGAACTCGGACAACTTATTATATTTGGAAATGTGAATACGTGATATTTAATACTAAAATATTTGTAGATGGCCAGCCGATCACAAAGATTTGAAAGGATCACCTGCCCCGATATTAAAGAAAGAGATGAATCTTCCGGTAATGCTCCAACCAATATTTCTGGGAGCTGAGGCAGGGGAAGAACTAGGGGTAGAGGCCAAGAGAGGAGTTAGGCCCAAGGAAGAAGTCAGACTGAGGTTCGTCCTGATCAGGGGGAATCTATTTCGGGAAACATTAATCAAGAGCATAGACCCCAACACAATATATAACTAGGGATGTTCTGGCTGAAGAAATGGGCAAACTGAGAGAGACTCTGTTATCCATTATGGGATTGCCAGCCAGAGTAGAAACTAAACAAGTTGGAATGAATCCTCCAGGTCCTTCAACAGGCAGTAATAACAGCGGATGGGACATAAAAATGTTTCTAACATACAAACCCCCAACGTTTTCAGGAGAAAGAGATCCAGTAAAGGCAATGTGCTGGATAAAAGAAATAGAATCGGTGTTTAACACCAGTAGATGTTCCAAGGAAGATAAGGTTAGATTTGCAATCTCACTGCTAAAATCTAACGGTTTATACTGGTGAGATGTAGAATCAGCAGCTCAGCCAAATATTCTGCATACTATGTCTTGGGAAGAATTTGTGATCAGATTCAAAACAAGATTTTCTGAAACTGGAGCAGGGTAGCAGGTCTGTACGGGATTACACTGAAAAGTTTATCGAGTATTCCCAATTCGCAGAGCATTATGTTTCTTCTGAGTCCCGAAAGGTAGAAAGATATATTTGGGGTCTGAAACCTTCCATCAGAGAATTTGTGATTGCTATGGACCTTGCTACTTTCTCTTTAGCTGTAAATGCTGTTGAGATAACAAAAAGAAACAGGAATCGGCAAGGTGAAGAAAGAGTGGTAGAGAAACGAAAATGGGAGGGGTCTTCAGCTAGTTTTCGAAGACCCAAATTCATAAGGACAGATAGTCTCCCTTCTCAACAACCACCTGTTAGAACTTGTCCGAGGTGTGAACAAATGGATCAAGGAAACTGTCCACCTGAACCAAATAGATGTTACCGTTGCGGCGAGGCAGGTCATTTATCGAGGGATTACACTATACCTAAAAGATGTTTCCAGTGCAATTCATCTGATCATATTTGGCCAAACTGTCCATAGTTGATGTTCCACGATTAACGAGGGAGGGAATACCCCAAGTGCTTGTGGGAGGCCTAGTGCACCAAGGGGAGGCCAGAGTGGGGCGTGAGGCCGATTATTTTTGATGACGAAAAGTGAGTTGGATGTAGTAACAGGTACTTTTCTCATCAATTCCATATATGCTAAGGTGCTGTTTGATTCGGGTGCGAAGTTTTCGTTCATATCACCTTTATTTGCTGAAATTCCATGCATGACTTTTGTGCCACTTAACAATATATTAGTAGTTGACATTGCTAATAGTCGAGAATCTGTTGCTTATGTGTTCAATAAATGTATAATTAAAATTGAGGGGTGTGGGCTTCTGATCCGATTATTCCCGATGCCGATGAAAGAATTCGACGTTGTGGTGGGAATGGATTGGTTAGCAGAAAATTGGGATAGTATTCTGTGTAACAAGAAAATGATCAGTATTCATCTATCGGGGAAAGAACCAATAGTAATTTATGGTGATCGGCAGGATCACCATACCAACTTGTTTTCGGTTCTGAAAGCCCGAAAATGTATTCAGAAAAGATATCAGAGTTATCTGGCTTATGTGGTAGATTCAAGGAAGGAAAAGGGTAAACAAGAGTCGATTTCGGTTGTATGTTAATATCTAGAAGTATTCCCGGAAGATTTAACTGGTCTACCGCCTAATAGATCTATCGAGTTCAGGATTAATTTGGTACCCGGGGCAACACTAGTAGCAAGAGCACTGTACTGGCTAGCATTGTCGGAATTAAAAGAGTCAGTTACTTAGTTGAAGAACCTTCTTGACAAGGGTTTCATCAGACCAATTACCTCACCTTGGGGTGCTCCGGTTCTGTTTGTCAAGAAGAAAGATGGATCAATACGGATGTGCATTGATTATCGGGAATTGAACAAACTAACAATTAATAATAAGTATCCTTTACCAAGAATCGATGATATATTTGATCAACTGGTGGGAGCCAGTTACTTTTCAAAGATCGTTTTGCGGTCAAGATATCATCAATTAAAAGTCAGAGAATAAGATGTTTCTAAGACTGCTTTCCGAAGTCGATATGGGCATCATGAGTTTTTGGTTATGCCTTTTGGTCTAACCAATGCTCCTGCAGCTTTCATGAATCTGATAAACTGAATATCTAATGAATGTCTCGATAAGTTTGTTATTGTATTTATCGATGATATTCTTGTATACTCAAAATCTAAAGAAGAGCATGTTGAGCATCTTCGTCTGATCCTTGAGTTTTTGAAGAAAGAAAAGTTGTATGCCAAATTGTCCAAACGTGAGTTCTGGTTAAGAGAAATTCAATTTTGTGGGTCACGTCATATCTGAAGTGGGAGTGAAAGTTGATCCTGCTAAGATTGAAGTAGTAGAAAAATGGGATGCACCGAGAACTCCTTCTAAAGTCCGTAGTTTTCTGGGATTAGCATGTTACTACTGGAAATTTATCTAGGATCTCTCCAAGGTTACAGTACCATTAACGAAGTTGACTCGGAAAAATATTAAGTTTCAGTGGGAAGAAGATCAACAAAAGGCTTTTTAGTTGTTGAAAGATCGTCTATGCAGCGCTCCAATTTTGTCTTTGCCAGAGGGATATGAAGATTACATGGTCTACAGTGATGCTTCAAAATTAGGTTTGGGTTGTGTGTTGATGCTGAGAGGAAATGTTATTTCTTATGCATCCAGGCAATTGAAAGATCATGAAAAATAGTATCCAACACATGACATGGAACTTGCAACCGTATTTTCTGTTCTAAAGATTTGGAGACATTACTTGTTGCGGACTAAGTGTCAGATCTTTATAGATCATAAAATTCTCCAACATTTATTCAATCAAAAAGAGTTAAACATGCGGCAACGACGATGGATCGAACTGGTAAATGATTATGACTGTGAAATCTTTTACCATCCGGGGAAAGATAATGTGGTAGCAGATGCTTTGAGCAGAAAGGAAAAGAGTGGTACGATTAGAGCTATAGCTATGAGAAGGAATCTTTTTCCAGATCTTCACAGTGAATATGCAAAGTGTCAAGGGGAAGCAGTCAAAGAAGATAATTTCATAAATGAACAAATGCGTAAATTAATTTCTACCTTGGAAAAGAATGATAAAGAACTTTTGTGTTTTTAAGGTCGGATTTGGGTACCGTGCTATGGAAATACCCATGAAATTATTTTGAACGGAAGTCATAAATTCCGGTATTCTATTGATCTTGGCACCAATAATATGTATAGACTTAAAACCATTTTATTGGTGGCCTGGACTGCAGAAAGACATAGCAAGATATGCAGAGCGATGTTTGCGTGTCTGCAAATAAAAGCTAAACATCAAAGACCCTATGGGAATCTACAGTCTTTAGAGATTCCTGTGTGGAATGAAGTGGGTGAAAAAAAATTAACTGGGCCAGAAATTGTTCAAGTCACTTCTGAGAAGACTGAGAAAATTAGAGAAAATATTAAAACAGCTCAAGACCGTCAGAAGAGTTACGCTGACAGACACCGTAAGGCGATTGAATTCTTTGTAGGAGATCATGTGATGTTGAAAGTTTCATCGTGGAGAGGGGTAGTCATATTCGGTAATAAAGGTAAGCTCAGTTCAAGATACATTGGGCAATTCAGAATCTGCAAGCGAATTGGAATAGATGCGTATCTGTTAGAACTATCAGAGGAGCTTAGTTCGATCCATAACACTTTCCACATGTCTAATTTACGGAAGTGTTTGGTAGATCCGAGTCTAACAGTGCCAGTACCAGAAGCCAGACTAGACAGTAAGCTGAACTTTGTGGAAACACCAAAAGCAATAACTAATTGGAAAACCAAGGTTCTGCGGAATAAAGAAATCAGTCTGATGAAAGTTCAGTGGCATCATGACAAAGGTTCTGAGGCAACCTGGGAGTTAGAATCTGAAATGAGAATCGAATATCTGTGGCTATTTGATTGAATGAATTTCAGGGCGGAATTCATTTGAGGTGTGGATAATGTGATAACTAGGTTCTGGTTATCACCCGAGGTAACTATTATGTGATTATGTGAATATGTGTTTAATTGTTATAGTTAATCATGTGGACACATGCTTACATGAGATTAATATGTGAGTATGTGTATTTTCATACATGGAAGTGTATACATAATTTTAAGTATATGCATATATTGTGAATGTATGCTTAAGATGTGTATGTGTGTGAGCATGAATTTAATTGCATGCATACAGGGGAATATATATATATATATATATATATAGAAAGAGAGAGAGAGAGAGAGAGAGAGAGAGAGAGAAAGAGTTTGTTTTGAATACAACCCGTTACATTTGTACAACCAATGCAACCTAATAAATTGAGATATTTATGGAAATGATGCAAGTTCATTTATTATAATTTGAATATTTATGGAAGACGAATATGGTTCATTAATTATGATCAATACTTTATATTATGAAACAATCAAAACTTCTATGAAATCACATATTAATCATATGAAATGGACGGTTGAGATTGGGTTGTATTGGTTGCACAAATGTCCAGGATTGTATAATAACCAACCTCTCTCTCTCTCTCTATATATATATATAATTGTAGGATCGATTAACTCGGTTTCTTGGTATTAATTACTTATTTGGATGATCTGTTTGACAGTGATGATGCAGCGGAAAAGATAAGAATCAACCAAAGTAGAAATCAATAAGAACACACAATACTGAAGCACACAGAAATACAAGGGTCTACGCTGCTATTTATACAAGCAAGTAACCGTTTTCTGACACGACCAAAAAGTAAATTAATCTAAGCTGTTCGATCAAAACAGATTACAGACAAGAACACGTGATAAACACGAGCAGCTAATAAACCAAAGTAAAACAGCTAAAGATGATCTACACAGAAGACATGCTACTGTCTCACAGAGGCTCTGCTGGATATAACTTGAAAGCACATTGACGTAGAGGATATCTTCCAGAACCTCTGTGAGACACGACAGAGGTTCTGTCACTTGAGACTTGTATGCTGTTGGTCCTCTGTGGTCTTCTGTGACAGATCATCTTCAGTCAACACTTCAGTATTACTTTTTTCATACTTTTACATTTAATGAAATGAGAGCTAACAATCTCCCCCTAAGTATGAAAAAGTAAAAATTGAACTTTAAGTGCAAGGACATGACTTGATTGAAATGAAATTACAAGAGGTGATAAAAGATCATCCTCTGAAAGAATTACAATGTAAAGAATTATAAAACTTAAATGACAAAACTTTTGAAGCTTAGTCTGAATTCTGGTGCAGAAGGTTATCAGACTGAAGATTCTGGAAAATTGTCTACCGCGTATAGCAAGTCAGCTTTGATCGTTCTGTATACATTGAAGATCCATTCTCTGAAGTTGATTTGAACTTTGATCGTGTTCAAGAGTGGAGACACTTCACCTGCCCTATAATGTCTTCTGTCCACCTCTGCCAAAACACATTTGAATATCCACTCTAGCGTCTCTGTTGAATACTTATGAGATTCTGTTGGATTGAAGAATCTTAGTATCTCATCCTTATCCAAATACACAAACCCAAAAACAGGATTGTGTATGATAGAGTTTGGAGAGGACCTAGATATCCAACTGGGCCTGCTGTATGGAGGAGAGATCTTTAGATTTTTCTGCATTAATCTTATGGCCAACTCAAAGTCCTTCTAGCTGGAATACCTTACTTGCGCACGCATTACCTCAACCAGCCTTCTTAGCGATATTTGGTATGTGGACCTCCTCTCCATGTAGATGTTAAGAATCTTGTGCATATAAATGACATTAAACATGCAGAGGTTGTGAAGATCAGCATCCGTGAACGTGTAGAAGTTGCCATCTTCTCTCCTTACAACATACTGTGTGTAGAGCACGGTCTTCTTTAACAAGGTCCTTGGTGAGATTGTCACCAATGGAGTGATCATGTGCCGTGAGAAGATCTGCTCACGAGGCCTTGTTAATTTGGTGAAGTGGAACTTGGCGATTGGCGAGGGAATATCAGTGATCTCTGGGTCATAAGGTGGCTCTGTGTCTGCTACAGAGTACTTCCAAATAAGAATTTCTTTCGGGGTAGTGACGGGCTCTGTGCGAACTTTTTGCATAGGAATCTTGCTCATAGATTCAAAGATTTCAGAGACCCTGTTTGCTGTGGAAGCCTCTGGCATCTTGAACTCTTCTTCTTCCAAAATTGGCCTTTAGGTCGATCCCTCTGCAAAGATTGGTTTGACAAATCCTTGCAGAGCATCAAACGTACCCGTGGACGTTTCTTGGACTTGTGGGAATAAGGAAGACGTGGCTTCTCCTTCTCTGTGGTGCATTGGAATTCTGCCCTTCTTCGCTAGAGCCTCTGCCAGAGATAATTTCAACACTTTGAGGAGCTCAGGGTCATCGGCATACTCCTTTTCATCAATTTCCTTGGGAGTCTCTGTGCTGGACGACGACCCCTTCTGTGGTTCCTCTACAGCCTTGCCTTTTCCTTTGCCACTAGGCTCT